CCATAATTGTTTTTGCTATTCCAAAAGTCATTTGCTCCAAAATCAATCACTATGTATCCGGCTTACACATATAAATTATCCTCAAGAGTTCGGCGGCTACTCGCTTCAAGATAAAGTAATTTTGCTAATGAAGTTTCTCGCGATATGTGCAAATTCGCACGCAAATGCAATTTTAAATGTGGTAATAATCAACACTGAAGAACGTGTGTTTGGGAGATTTTGATCGTGAATTCTTTTTGTGTGTCGAATATTCGGTTCGAAATGTAGACCGGTTGTATAAATACAGGGTGATTCGAATTCGACTCCCACGATTGGGATCTCCTAAACTACAGGAGAAACGGTAGATGCCGTTAACACTCAAACAAAAACCAGGAGTTAGCGCTTTACAACTCACTATTACCCTTCAAATGATACTTTTGACTTCACACTTCGTGGCATCGACGTGGGACGTTTAAGAGTACATCTAAAATTTCAATATTTGTGGCGAGTTCTCAAGTACAACGGAAAATCTATTATGTTTCACTTCAAATATTCGAATTGACCAACAGGATCCTTCGATAGAATTATGTAAGAACTCATCCTAACACTTATGTGTAACAACAGAGTTATGTGCATGGGCTGCGTTCCCCTTACAATTTAGCGCATGCGCATAATACAAAATCCTACTCAATTTGTGCTGCTGATTTGTACTCAGGGCTGCCAGAACTAGTGTTTTCGTACTAAATCTAGTGATTTCGGCCAATGTTCTGTACTTTAGTGTTACATTTAATATATCTAGTACATTTTAGCAAATAATTTATATTTAGTACAATTTTTAGTACAAATGAGAAGCTCTTGTCAGAATCGTTAATTGTCACTGTCAATTGCCATATTTGAATTGTAAACAAATGTAAAACACGGTAAAAAGTGTTGGCCATTTTGGTAAGTAAGTTGTGAATTGTAAATCATAATTGATAATCATGTATCAATACGTTTTATTTTTAACGGTTTGTTATACGAGAAAGAAGCAGGTTGCTTTTAGAACTAGAACCGGTCAATGAAAATGAAAGTAATGTTTTAGAAATTGACAGTGATATTAGCCAAGCAGAATTAGAGATTAGAGACACTTATTTTAACCATTACAACGATAATATGGAACAGGAAGATAATTTAAGTCTGAAAATGAAGAGGGATATCCGCCAAGAAAAAAAAACGCATTTATAAGCAAAAATTTCGGGAAGAATGGCGAGAAAACTTTAAATGGATTCAATCCAAAAACGAAAAAACTTTCTGCAGTAGTTGTAAAAAACACATTAGTGGCAGTATACTCCATCTCAGGGGACATTTATTAGTGCTATACAGTGTTTTCCCCATTCTAGTGCTACTGTTGAGAGAATATTTTCACAATTAAATTTAATCAAAACAAAAACAAGAAATTTTTTATGCAAGGCACTTGAAAAACGATAATTGTATAACATGGACTCCATACATTATTAAAAACTAAAGTCAGGGTAAATTTTCGTTATGTGGACACCCGGCGATTTTGAAAAAATGTTTGACTGTACTTACGTATTTTGATGCGTAGATTACGAATCTGAAAGAAAAAAGCGGCGCTCTCCCTTATTTAAAAAGTTACGGCCCTTCAAAGTTCAGAAAAGGGCAACTTTTCAGCCTTCTTTTTCACTAAAGTAACAATGTGGAGTTTTTTTTAGTACATTTTCTCCGAATTTAGTACTTTTTGTTTCATGATTTAGTACATCACTGCATTTTCATTCTGGCAGGTCTGTTTATACTACTGATGTACATTTTTCAGAAAATCTCTGAAAAATGTACATCTATAACAACCCTGTACAACAAGGCATAACTCCACGAAAGATATAAGCTGTGTAGTGATAAAAACATTATATCTGACACAAAGACCAAAGATTAATTTAATGCTACCCACACGGCCTTCTTCGAAAGGACATATTCAGTCCGAAACAGATCCAATTATTATTGAGTGTCTTGTATAATTTATATGTGATACATTGTTTCGATATCACGTAACTGTATTTTAATAATGCCGTCGTAATTGAGTGTTAGCTGTTTCTAATTTTAAACACACCTCTGGTAACAATTTTGTTATGAGATGGGTTTGTTCATCACCAGCAATCGCTTAATTTTATTGGTTGTCGGTAGAACATGAAGGAGTGTTCGAAATTGTTGAATTTCAAGCCGAATGGATTACAAGAACGATAAGTATACCGTTTAGGATAACCAGGGATATTAATTATTGTAAAGGAGTCAAAGAATACATAAAGACTTTTATCTGCAAATATGCTGTCTGTCCAAAAAATAAGGTTAATTTTCATTTTTCTCAACCAACACTTTTGGTTGAGCGTCATCTAATAACTTGAATCTGTTAATGTTTTTCAAAACTTTGATGTTAGGTTAGAAGTTAGCCGTGACGTTGAAAAAATAGATTAGAGTTATTGACAAACAAAAAAAAGTGGATTTTAATTTGTTTCTTTGAAACTGGATATTTCCAATAATACCTGTTCTTCTTCTTCTTCTTTTTTTTTTATGGTCTTTGCTTCCCTTCGGCGTAGTAGACCACAATAACACCTCGTTTACAGGTGAAGTCAATTCCTATTGTTAAAACGAAATCTATTTTGAATGTAATCAAACCACTTAAAAAAAAATTACTACATGCGTGGGTTGCTACTTAACTTCCTAATATTATTTTTGACAGATGTTTAGCAATTCAAAGAGAAGAAAATGTTATTGTAAGAAGGTCTACTAAAAGGCTCATTCATTAAAAGGAATTTGTATAATGGTGAGTTGTTCTAAGAAAAATATCGTATCTGGTTCCATACACAAAAACATTTCAACTATGTAGATACTAACCTGTTTCGTTCCATTAAAATGAATTTATTGTCAACGAAACTGAAGTAAGTAGGAGGCGGGCGGTATCTCCGCATAATCTCAAGGAATTGAAATCGTACCCGTTGATGTAAGTGCGTTAACAACAATGGTCTCCCGCAGACAACATTCAAAGCAGTAGGTCATAATATTATTATTCCTGAGTCACATAATGGCTTTCGACTCGACTTGGCACAGGTAGGAGTTAGGTGGCTGTTTTGTGACCATAAATCATGAATTCTAGTTACGAAGTGGCAGACTGAGTGGCAAGTTCATCGGATTAATCGTTCATTATAAGATTATTGTCATTGTTGATGGTGGGCGGTTCACAGAATTACAGAATTTTCACTCCAAAATGTAAAAAAGGCATATTTCTCAACCGTAATAACTATTCACTGAGATCAAAATCTAGCTACTTTGTTGGTTATGTTAGGTTAGGTTAGAGCAGAATAGAATTACACACATAAACGTTTCTCTTAAATCATTCCGTACATTGGTGAGAACCATTTGAAAATGATTTCGGTAGTTTTTGAGCTTATAGTCGTCAGACAAACAGCTGTAGCAGAGTACTTCGTTTCTTAACGTATTGTAACAAATTAATGAATTAACTGTCTATTTCCGATAATATTTCACTAATCACTAATTTATTTTTAACACTTAGCAACTAACGCCTAAACTATTTCCACTATTTGAATTCCTTCTTTTACCGCTCGATTCACTTTTTGAACTGCCCTCTTGGTTCGAAAAGCCGGGCTTATATAATGTGACGGTTCTTTCTAGAAATCTGTAGTCGGTTCATCACTCGACTAGAGTTTTCCCGACGGTTGCATTCTTTTGCGGTAATGTCATGTTTTTTTTCGTTGACCGGCATATCGGTCAGGGGCGGCTTGAGATTTGTTACAGTGTATTAATTAAATTTTCTGACAGGAATATAATGGTGTTGCAAATAAAACCAAACTGAAGTCTATCCAAATCCAAGATAGAGTAAAACAAAACCGAAGCGTGATGTTCACGTGATCGGCCAGTGTCAGATGGAAAGGGCAGCGTTCATTGGTGAATTCGCCTTCTTGGTACGAGTTCGGTACCAGCACAGGGTTGTAATCAGTCGTTTGCGAGTTTGTGTGGCGTGCGTTATAGTATATTGTTTAAAACTGTTTTCCAAGATGTCCAGTACAGACACTGCTGATGACACTGTGAGCTATCCTCTGAGTCCAGCCAGGAAACGATCCAAAAAAAGACATTTGAGTGTTGACATGAAAGAAGTGATTTTAAATGTGTTCTAGAAAGAGATGGAAGAAATCGAGACGTCGACGAAGTCGTATCGAAAGTTTCCGATAAAATTGGAGTGTGTTGCGCTTCGATTTACAATGTTTTACGGGAATATAAACAAAATCATACATTTTCCAAACCGAATACAAATCAGAATCGTCAAACCATTATAAAATCAATAGATGATGTTGATAAACATGCAGTCAGGAGGAAAGTGCATGAGTACTTTTTCAGAAATGAAATACCCACGATAGACAAAGTACTCACAGAAATAAATGAAGATGTTTTATTGCCAAGTTTTGAGCGGTCAAATAAAGTATTGAAACATTTGAATTTTGTATGGAAAAAACGAGGGCGCAATAGTTTATTATTGGATAGAGAGGAAATTGTGTTATGGAGGAGAGAGTATTTGACCAAAATTAAATATTATAGGGAACAACAGAGAACAATTTATTATATGGATGAAACCTGGGTTAATGCTGGTCAGAGAAAGTATATGTAGTTATTTACATTTATGTTTTTACATTTACTTTTATAATTGACATTTTCTTTGTTTATTGTGCATTGATTTCTGTCAACTGTACTTTTCAACTAAAGAAATAAATATTATTATTATAAAAACCTGCAGACTACGACTGATAAACCTGGAAACATCGAACAATTTGTCACCCAATCTTGTTCATTTATGAAAAGTAAAGCTGAATTATCCTTGACACAATTGAATAGAATATACCAGGTTATTTCATAAATACTTTTTAGTGCAAAGTTTAAGATTCAGAGCTTCACTAGTTCTGAAAAATTAATTGGAAAGAAAACATAACACGACTGAAATTTAGTTCTTTTTGTTTCAGAAACATCCGGAGAACTTGGTTGGGTTCTAACTCTAGTTATAGTATCACTTACCTCAGCACTGGTAGGTGCTATAGTTATGATCATAGTTCTACACTGTAAAAGAATGAAGGGATCCGTTGAAAGCGGTAAGTCTTCAACCTCATTTTCCAATATTAAATATAGTTTCAATGCTACAGAACCATAAAAAAACCCTACTCTGTTTTTCACTTCATCTTAACTTTATTCCTGAGATCTAGACATTTTCTAGAGATTTCTGTACTTTTGGACTCGAAACAAAACAACAACTTTTTCCTATTCAGTTTGTATTCCAAACGTTCGTTATGAAACTGAATCAGATATCATTGACAGGATTTCTACACAAACATACCTCTTTACATTTAATCGGTTGATTGATTTTCCAAGAATAACTTTTTTGTTTTTCACAGAAACTGAACGAGGAGTATCTTTGAATCAAAGGATGACTAGCCAACGACCTCCGATCAGTACACCGGAGGACAAAGAAATCAGTACAATCACCTCTCCAAGCTTTCCACATTTGCCAAATGCCCAGAATGCCAACAATGGAGTTTGGTCATGGTTATCTAGGAGAAGCACAAACTCTCCGTCTCAGTTAAATACGCCTCCAGCTCTTCCAGCTGAAAACCATTACACCCATATGGAAGATGGTAAGTACTTGGTTTGATAACAACTTTCAATAACCAAAAAGTTCCGAACAAATTTATGCTCTCTTTGCCTATAATATGTTCAGAAACGAGAGAGACTATAGCATATATATATATATATATA